CAATGTTTAATTTCCGAGAAATAAAAGGATATTCTTTTAGGCCGGAATCAGATTACGCATTGAAGATAAAGATTAAAGATTGAAATTTGACCAATGAGGACAAAAAAATTTTAGCTCCTATTGTTTTGATTGATCACATTTCAATCTTTCAATCTTCAATCTCAATTTTCAATGCGCAGTCTGATTCCGGTCTTACAAGAGCTATATCAGAATTGGCGACTTTTCTCTATACATTTTTCAATATAGGGGAAGGTCGGGTAGTATAGGACACCTAAGCTTTTTCACAAATAATTTTTTTCTGAATAGCTAAATTTGAACGTACTAACTTCCATACGAAACTTTATTCTTATACCAAAACACTTCTTAAAACCCATTTCCCTAAAATAAAAATATCAACCGTTTTTTTAATACTTTTTATAGGCATTACATTTTTATCATGTTTGTTTGTGGAGGGTTGTATCGGACATGATATAGTGTGTAATAAAACAGTCATTTTTGGTGTGACAAATAACTTTTTATTATTATATTATTGTATATATATTATTGGGTAATTACTTAGAATATGGGGCCTCGCCTCCAATTTTGATTAAATTGGGCTCATTAGATGCGTTTTCGCTCACAATGAAAGAATCTGGAAAAAAAATTCGGTGGTCGGCCTCGTGAACCGAGATATCAAGCGTTAAAGTTCGAAATTTTAGAGATTAAGATACCTGTCATTCTAACGCTGCAGCGCTATGCATACGTAAGGTCTGTTCTTTTTCGAAGAATTCTAAACTAGTTCTGAAATAGTGCAATAAGTTTTTGCACTAGTGTACTCCAATTCAAAATTTGGATTAAAAAATGAGAGCACTGCTTTAAAAACAAAAATTCACTGCTTTAAAAATACAAGATTACTGCTCTAAAAATACAAATTCACTGCTTTAAAAACACAAGATTACTGCTCTAAAAATACAAATTCGCTGCTTTAAAAACACAAAAGCACTGCTTTAAAAACACAAATTCACTGCTAATGCAGAAGAATTTTTTAAGTAGTGAATTTTTGTTTTTAAAGCAGTAATCTTGTATTTTTAAAGCAGTGAATTTTTGTTTTTAAAGCAGTGAATTTATGTTTATAAAGCAGTGCTTTGGTGTGGTTTAAAGCAGTGATTTTTAAAGCAGTAAATATATAATATTGCATAAATTTTTAAAAGCTGAGATTAGGTTATTTAAAATGTATACCTTTTTAATTTTTTTTTATATGGATTAAAATTTAAATCCAACATTTCGTGGAAATAAACGCTGGAGCTATATGTACAAGACTTCGTCGTTGTCGTTCAAATTCCTATAAATTTTGAAAATTGTTACAAACGCTACATAATATATTATTCAATCCATTAATTAATTAATGGATTGAATAATATATTATGTAATAATATAAAATACAATAATATAATAAAGATAAAATGATATTACCTCATGATTTAAATAATTAAACCGGCAATAAATTTCATATTTTCAATTTCTTGTATATGCTTTCTTTAACGTAAAGGCTAAGATGTCATGTAAAAAGTCTTCCGATATTGCATTTAAATATGCAAAATTGACAAGAATCATTCGTTTGTGGTCAGTTAAATTACGATCCCAGAACAATTTCCGTATAAATTTCGGCCACAATTTTGCCTCTCCAACTAATATCTTGGACAGCAAGCCAAGGATTTTTGTTTAGTTGCTCTATTAAATACGGCATTTTACAATTATGATCAAATTGCAATCTGCACAGAGTAGTATTTTATCTGCTTACAGAATACGCGCGCGCGACCACAACGCATGTTCATTTTCGAAACATAGGTCGCGTTCAGTAGATTCAACTTTTGCAGAACGGATCTGTACGCGCTCGTTGTTATTGGTGTATTCTTCTAGACCTGTCTAAATCATTAACCAATAGTAACGAACGCTCACAGATCCACTCTGCACAGTTGAGTCGAGTTGAGTTTGATGAACGCGACCATTTAGTTAGAATGACAGGTATCATAACATCTAAAATTTCGAACTTTAACGCTTGATATCTTCGTTCACGAGGCTGACCGACGCATTTTTTTTCTAGATTCTTTCATTGTGAGTGAAAACGCATCGAATGAGCTCAATTTAATCAAAATCAGAGGTGAGGCCCCCCGTATTCTATAAATAATTACCTATTATTGTATATTATTATTATCATTTTATATTATTATATAAGTAACATAAGTCAATAAATGAAAATGAACACTTTTTAACGTAACAAGTCAATAAAATGAACAGTTTGTGAAAATTTAACATTTTTTTGTTTTGTAAAAAATAAAATAAAATAAAAACCACATCTTATTTAGTTTTTTTGATACAAACATCACATTTATAAAAAAGATTGCTATTTTCAAGATCGGCACAATTTTCGTGAGCCCAACCTTTACAAATATCGCACTGAATCCAATCTTCTTCAAATGTTTCACCACAGACGATGCAGTGAGTCTTTTGGCTTTCTTCCTAAAGGATATTTAATTTCGATTTCTTTACCTTCGGCAAAACTTTTCAGTTTATCACCTAATGTACTTTTTGGAACAGAATATCTTTCGCTTGCTTCTCTAATAGTCGTTTTCTTAATTTTAACTTTTTCTATGGCTTCTTTCATACTCTTTTTGTCCCATTTATGACGTAATTTGCCCATATTGCCCTGTAATACAAAAAAATGTCGTAGGAATTTAAGTTTTATCAACCGTAAAGGTTGTCCGATACAACCCGAACAGCACGCAACGAAAAATTGGCTGTCACTTGCGTATTAGTAAGCCTAACGAGATTTATAGCCTATAACTTAAAGGATAATAAATGTTGTTTCTAACAATAAACTAAAAACCTATTTATACTTACTTTCAAACAAGGTACAACAGCCAGAAGTTATCTTCGTTCACTGAAAATAGCTATATATAAAACAAAATTTATTACCATTTGTCAACAACACTGCCATTTGTCCCAATATGGCGTCAGCCGTACTCCCCCCTTCAGTCAACACGCCGATTGCTTCACAGATGCTGCCTCCAGCGGAAAATGCTTGAAACAACTCTTGTCCGATATTAGCCGCTGTCCGATACTACCCAACCTTCCCCTACGTTAATAGATAGCGAGCAGAAAGATATATGAAAAATATGTATGATAATATGTATAATTCATTACATAATTATTCTAGCTGGATGTTATTCTGCGTATGTAAATCTTCAGATTCATTTATGAAAGAAATATATTTGAACAATACGTGTTTCATCTTTTTGACATCTATTATATCACAAAAAACTGAGCCTTGCATTAACATTACAGTATTAGGTCGTGGATCATTGAAGTAGCAGTTTCCGTACTATCGAGATCAGGCAGCGCTAAATGTGATACAGCTTAGGATAGTGATAACACCATGAAATTAATTCCCTAATTCAGGGGAAAAAAATTTTTTTATTTTACCGTGTGTATTCTGGAATTTTATGCTAATCGATAAGTTTTTCAGCAATAAGACTGGATTAATTAATTTCATATCTTTCAGTTTTTCTGGGAGCGTTACATTTATATTATACAGCTGTAGTTTCCAATAAGTGAGAAATTACAACTAACGTGTACGTTACATGTAACATATATGTTATATTACCTGTTACATTCTGTTCTCTTAGGTGTTAAACTTAATTCCTGCCGTTTTTCCTCTCCAAAATTGATTTGTTTCGAAGGGAAGATGAATGAATACCTTAATCAAAGTAATTTCCTCCATTTTCTACTTTATTACTAATTAATAATACTTTATTAATAATACTTTGATTAAGGTATTTCCCTTCGAAACAAATCAATTTTGAAGACGAAAAACGGCAGGAATTAAGTTTAACACCCAATATTAAAGCAATATAACAATACATATTTGTGTTTGCTGGGTAATCAGCTGTTTCGGAGCGCTGCTTCGCTCATAGCCATTAGGCAATGTCAAACTATGAGCGTTCCTTCGCTAGCTACGCATTTGTACATGAATCGACGGAGTGGAGGAATTTCACCAGCGAAGCTACACGAAACTATGTCTTATTTACACAATTGGCTAATATCATGTATGGTAATATATTCACTCTCCATCAATTTCCTTTCTTCCCGTTATTTCACTATTATTTCCTCCAATTTTCTCTACAAATATATATAGAAGTCAAGTGTGTTCGCTCGTGGCCCAGAACAATTAATAAAAATTCTCAAAGTTCTTTTCTGGAAAAGAAAAAAATATCTTTTCTAAAATCTGATTTAAGCGCATTTTACTTGTTCCTGTATAGCCTACACTTGGAGTCGCAACTTCGGATTCAGCTTTATTGTATGTAATCCTATCTCCCGTCGGATCTTACTTTAAAGCTACAGATCGGCAAGTCGGGATTTCCCTGCTTGCAGATCCTAGATATACGAGAGCATGGCCTGGCGGTTGTGGTAATGCTAAATTAGGCAGCAATTATGGACCTACAATTCAAGTTCAACAAGAAGCCACTGAAAAAGGTTTACAGCAAGTATTGTGGCTGTACGGTGAAAACAATGAACTTACAGAAATCGGCACTATGAACGTCTTCGTTGTTTGTATAAATAATAACGGAGGTAAGAAGCAACTTTTGGTGAATTTTATAAAATGTTTGTGAAAAGAGTCATAAAAAAGAATAACTTGACTTAATGATTCAGTTTAGAAATCCGATTACTATTCCTATGTTATTTTATACAGAAAGGGAACTACTTACACCACCTTTAAATGGTTTGATCTTACCCGGAGTTGTAAGAAATTCGCTTTTAGCTATATCTAGGCAATGGAATCAGTATATAGTTACGGAAAGATCTATTACGATGAAAGAGATTATACAATTAAATTCAGATAATAGGGTAAGATTTACGTACGCAACATTGTTTTTCCTCTTTCTTCTTTCTCTTAGCATATTGTCTATTATTACAATTAATTTTTTTGTTATAGCTGTTGGAAATATTCGGAGCAGGGACAGCGTGCGTGGTCAGTCCTGTATCTTATATTTACTTCCAAGGTCAAGAATTGCATATACCAACGACAGAACAACCTGAAGCAATTTATCAGATGCTCAAGAAACGTTTATTGGATATACAGTATGGTATTATACCTGATCATCCGTGGAGTTTAATGATTGAGTAAAATATGAATGATAGAAGATTATATATTAATTATTTTAATCTACTTAGTAAAATATCTCAAAATTCTTAAATTTAAAAAAGGGGAAGACTGTTAAGTCTTTAATTAAGTTTAAGACAAAAATGTTCCAAACAAAAATTGTTTAGTTACTAGGAAGGAAGACGATAGTGATCTTGATTAACCTTGAGAAGATATCCTTACGGTCAGGTCAAGGTTATCTAAAGTTTTTCGAATGGAATTATACAGATTTTTTTTTACGTAATATGTAATTCTACAAATTATTCTGCGTATAAAAGTATTAAGGTAGAGATATCGAAGAATCCATAATTTTGGACTTATTCACCGAGCGATTGGATCTTATTTGTGGATCCATGAATAAGAGTCAATCGCTCGTGAGCAAGCTGCATTCCGAAACCTATCGAAAAAAAAATGTTGCAACCTTTCTGTGACCGGCTGTACACCCAAGGACTTTGATTCTTTCTCTCAGAAATTTTCGAAGACTGAGAAATGACCACTCTTCTAGATTAATGCTCATAGTCCGTGCGCGATTAACGACAAGACTAAACCTTATGTCCGTTTACAACTAAATTCGACGTAAAGACGAAATAACTTGAATATGTGGAAGTTTTAAAAAAGTTAACCGAGGGAAAGAATTGAGAAGTCCTTGGATGTACATACATGTAACTATGTTCCTATTAAATTAATGTTATATTAAAGTTAATATTAAAATGTTAATATTAAGTTAATATTAAAATGATATTAATACTAAATTAATATTAGCTGCATAAGCATAGATAAGACTGTTGAATCAATAAACGTAAAGCTCATTTTATATTAGACACAAGTCAATCGCAAGTTTGCCAATCTGAAGCTTGCATTTTGAAATCAACGCTTCAGTTGACTGTCGCAACAAACTTGCACTCGACTTACGTCTAATATAGAATAGGCTTTAGGCTGTTCATTGATCCAGATATTCCAGTAGTGAGATTCTCTAAACGTCTTATCGATGATTGTCGCTATCGTTAACTAGCGACAGCCAATGGCAGGACAATCCTAGAAGAAAGAGTGGGACTCATTAGCTATCGTTAGTTAACAATAGCGATAATTGTCGATAAAACGTTTAGAGAATCCCGCAATAGATGGTCTTATGCCTAATAGGCCTTATTCTATGCTTATGCAGCTTATATCATTTTGTAATAGTCCTAAAGTATAAAATAACTCGAAAACTATATTGATTTTTCGATATCTTTACCTTAATACTTTTATATGCAGAATAATTAGAGGAATTATAATATGTAAAAAAAATGATATAATTCCATTAGAAAACTTTTGGTGACTTTGACCTGACATTTTTTCAAGATTAACTAAAAGGTCATTATCTTCTTTTTCTCTAATAACTGAACTTTTGCCTGGAACAGATTTGTCTTAAGGATTTTAAGATATTCTATTAGATGGATTAAAATGGACAACCATTACACACACACACACACACACACACAAACGCTCGTGTGTGTGTATATATATCAGTTTTGGAACTAGATGTTTTGACGTTCGAGGTAAAAAAAAATGCGTCCCTCAGTAACAAAAACATTTCTTGTACGGTATGTAAAATATAATAAAAGATAATATTAATTAATATTTAATATTAATTTAGTATTAACATTAATTTAATAGAAACGTATAATAGTTATATGTACAGGTATACATTATAAATATACAGACTATATGTATGTACATATCATGTATGTCACAAACGAATGCAACATAGTTATTAAAGTAGAATCAGAGTGTATACGTACACTGTATAGTATACATTTTATAGATAATATGAATGTATAATATGTATATTTATATATTTATATAAATAATATTAATTTTTGTAAAAATTCATAGATATGTTTTTCATTTAAATATCACAGTTTGCACAATGTTATCCACGCATCCCATATAGGCCCCTATTCTCGAAAAGTATCGTATACGAAAAATTAGGGAATCGGCGGTCTTCTTTTTACGATACATTAGCAGCTATTTAAATTTTTAGATATTTCAACAAAATTTTTGAGACGCAAATGTTTTCCGTATCATAAAAGTCACCAATAATAAAAAGAAATCCAAGATAAAATATCTATCATAATCAATATTAAGAATCTTTATTTTAGACCGCATATGTGAGAAACACAATCAATACTAGAAATTTAAAATGCCTATTACGGTCGAAGCTGGATCTTCATTGTTTTAAATAATTCGAACTTGAATTATTAATATACACTATATATTAGAGTTGACAACTATCTGGATATCCGGATATCTGGATATCTGAGATAGAGATAGATCCGGGATTGACAAGCAATTTAATAATTTAACGCTATCATCAAGCATCATATTATAAAGACGTCAATATGTTGAAACTGCTAATAAATTCATTACGAAAAATATTACCTCGCATATATAGTGTATATTAGTAATTCAAGTTTGAATTATTTAAAGCAATGAAGATCCAGCTTTGACCGTATAGGCAATTTAAATCTATCATAATGTTTTATCATAACTTTTTCATTTTAAGGCAATGGATTTATGCAGTTTTGTATATTCATTCGTAATACGAATGTGTAACAATGTTGATATATGTATAAACGTACATCCTACATAATTTTTAAGAGATTCATTACCTTATATTAATAAAATATTTTATCACTCACCGACTGATGCGTACTAGTAGTTATCGACCACGTAGCTATGATGATTCTGTAACATATATATAAGCATGAATTACAAATTAAAATAACACTCAAAATAATCAATGATTTAAAAGATGCTTGTTACGCACACAGATTTTTAAAATCACTTTCAATTAAATGTCTATTGAAATAATTGTTCATTGTTCAAAAAAATATCTTGATGAAAATGAGCTTTTCAATGTTTTAGATTAATTGTATTCTCTAATTATTAGTTTAAAATCGAAATAAAATAATTCGAATAAACGAGAAGGGAAGGCTACTTTTATTGTAAGTAAACATTAATGCTTGCTCCACTGGAATCACGCGATGTGATTCCTCCTTTCAGATTTTCAAATTTTTTCTTTTACTTCCTCACCAGTCATATTGGATCCCTTTATTAGGTGGGTTGCACTCACATACGATACGCTATAGCAAAATTGTAGTACAGCACTAGTCTATCTTATATTCGTAATTTGAAATTACATTTTTTATATAAAATGTAATTAAAAAAAAAATTGTATATCGATTATAAATATCTTAAATATTTTGAAATATTTATATATATTTGTACACAATATATTACAAATATTTTACTAAAACAATCTTAAAATATAATTACTTTCACCAATAGCCCAATAGCAAATAATAAAATAAATAAATTATAAAATGCTCACCTATATAGGCTCGCGATCCTCTACGCTGTCATTCCTGACATCGGTCCGGCTTTTATTTTATTTGTTCTTTTGTGTGTATTGCCATTTCTTCGTGTTACAACTGTTTGCAAAAACAAATAAATTACTAATTACAATTAAATTACTAATTATAATTAATCACTGGGATAACAATCGCGCGGCTTTATCATACTTTATTCAACATAGTCTCGATATAATCACATTTAATTAACTCGTATTTAATTGTGTCGCGATATTTCATAAATAAAACGAGAACGCGATAGATTGTATTTAATTGTAAGACGATAAAAGGTTGTTCTTTGGCATCAAAAAATTCAATTTTATTGTTTATTGCCAAAAGCGGTGCGACGACAGAGCGGGGTAACGCGCGTCAGCGAAAGAATAAAAGGTTAATAAATAATGACAAGTTTCACTTATTTATGAAATGAGTAACGACGCCCACCTCATCCAGAGCGGATAATCTGATTCGGGCTGTCCGTCGAATTCCTGCAAACGAAACAAATGAAACGTGAACGCGTTAAGATAAGGAGAGAACGCGAACAACAGACAACTTTGCGCGCCAAACCAAAAGAGCAAAAGTGACGGCACGACAGAGTGAGAGGAGATGACGACTCAAAACTTGAAAACCTGTAACCTGTAACCGCAAAATGGCCGCTGCCGCGCCCTACCGCCCCCTGACAAAGTCGACGTAAACTACATAGTAAGGTAATATCGGTTTATCATCTGCAGCCTTGAAAAGTGGACAGCCTTGCTATGTAATTTACATCGACTTTGTCAGGGGGCAGTAGGGCGCGGCAGCGGCCATTTTATGGTTACAGGTTACAGGTTGGTCTCTTTCTGCGTGCGCTTCGAAACATGATTACATGACGCGAAAAAGTTTGAGATGGCCGCATTGGCTGCTCTCATATTTTTCTCTGGACAAAGCTTGCTCCTGCTCTTCTCGTTAGTACATACATACGTATATTTTTTGTGATGTCGCATAGGAAGATGAGGGAGTAGAGGCGGAGGTTGCACACATATGACATATTGACATACGTGTACATACGTCACTGGTCCGCACTCCGCAACCCGCGCCGCGGTGCATCAACGTGCACAGTGCAGTAGTGCACCCTGGTGCACACCGCTAAATACACATACCTACATATCGATACCGCGTATCGCGCGATAATGCCAAACACTGAATCAGCTGGTTGCTGTTGTCGGTCGCTATCATCCATTACCAGTATTACCAGTATTACCAGTATTACCAGTATTACCAGTATTACTGTGATCAGGGTGACACTACTGACACTCAACACTGCGAAGTGTGGCCGTGTGACGAGGTGTTCCGACTTCCGACCAAAAAGTCGCGGCAGCATAAATTGGTATACTTACGGCCTACGGTATCGTATGAGGCGCGCAAGCGAGTGCGATACACGATGTGAGGTACACGATAATGGTCGGAGAGGAGAGGAGAGGATACGATACCTGAGTATACGATTATGATTGTGATCGTCGCGTCGCTGCATCGAATCGTTCTTTATTCATTTCTGAATTCTGATTTCCCCGGATAACGCACGTACGCGCGCGCATGCGGTCATTGCGGTCATTGCGGTCTCGTTTGAGCGGTTTGGCAAATATTGGGAGACTTGGGACTCTTGTGCCCGCCACTGAAGCAGCGAGACAGCGAGATAATGTGGCTCTCGACTCGATCGCCAGATTCGCCAGCGGGATTTATATCGCTGCAGCTGTAATTTGCGCTAGAGACGAAAATCGTCGGAATATTCCTTGCCATGATTCTCTCCCTCTTTCTCTCTTCCGTTTTATGTTTGGCGTGTCTCACGTTTTTCTTCGCGCTCGTGCAAAGTTCATCTCCGTCGTCGATTCGTCATCGAGATAGCGCGAGGGTGACAGCTCTGCGACAAGAGTCGCGTCTGTCATAGACTCGTGATCGCTGCCCACGCGCGGCGACCACTATCGCTCTCGTTTGTTCAACTCACGAAGCTGACGAACCTTGAGCGTGCTCGAGTTCTGACAATAAGTCGCCGCTTGCCCAACAGCTCTCGACTCGGGCAGCTCGGGATGTCCATTCATCTGAGCGAGGTCGATCCGTTCAGTGAGACGCCGATGGAGTTGCCTATGGAGCAAGAATCCTACCAAGGTACAGCAGTAAGACATCACACGAGACATCCACGTGACGTGATCGTTTGATACGCTCGCTTTAGGCGCGTTCAGCGTTCAGCGGACTTGACAGTCCGCTAAGTAAGTGCTCGCTGCTATTCTTCTAGAGATCTAAACGTCTGATTGGATCATCTAGAGATTTTAGAGGAGGAATTACACCGATAACAGCGAGCTCTCGTTCAACTGTTGAGTCTTCTGAACGCAGCCATTGACAGAGAAAATTGATTGGTAAGCGCTTTTTTTTTATGTTTTTTTTTCCTTTAATGTAAAGTCAGTTTCTACACTTGTAGATCTCCAGCGAAGAGCTAAAAGTAAAAACTAATTATATTAAAGAATTACCGAGTCCTTGTACTAATCAGTTTTCTTTGCGCAGTCATTTGTTATCGCGAGTAGACGCTGTGTATTCTCTCTCGCGAGATATTTAAATTGGGAGATCCTTGGGAGTGCACGCGCGCTTTAGCGTGTTGCACAGTTTATCAAGCATGCTAGCAAATTTCTTCCGTTAGATTTCAAGTATTCTAAAATTTATTTGTGTCTCTCTCATTTGATATACATAGATCGAGTGTATTTATCTATTTAGGCTTTTTTTTACAACAATACACAAGTATCTCCCAAAAATATCAATTATAGAAAAGATCGTGTAAACATTTGCGTAAATGTTTATTTGTATTTAAAAGATTTTTATATTTACATTTGTTTTCATGAGCATCTTTTCTCGTAACATGTCGATACTTTAAAAGGTATAAATTATTTGGACTTATTTAATACTGACTTATCTCTACCTTTTTCTTTTTGTAAAAACTAATTTATGCACGATAACAATCCGAGGGTGTGAAATTATTATTTGTTAATACAATTGCTAATTATTGAAATTAGATGTGTAATGATTCAATTTTTGTCTCGTACACAAAGATGATGACCAAGCAATAGTGGAATCGAGTCCAAAGAACAATATAGAAACTAATGCCGTGAGTGAAGCAGATTACGCCGAGCCTTTGACCCCGGAAGAAATACGGTGGTTTTATAAAGACGGCGTTGACAAAAGGTGGAACGAATTTTGCGGATACGACAGTTTAAGAATTGAGAGAATTTATCAAGAACGTCAGAATTTAATTAGCGAAAGTAATGATGGAACAAACGGTTTGCCACCCGCTGAAAAAATTGTGGTTAGAGGTGGCATGTACGATGTCGAAATAGATAATATGAAATGTGTTTCGATATATTGGCCAGGTGAATATGTCACATATTTTATTTCCCTTTTAGTTGTATTCCCTCTTAGTTGTATTCTATTCTTTACACCACATTGCATTATTTACTAATTACTTTTACCTATTGCCAAAGTCAACTCGTGTAACACAGGTTTATGCAAGTGAGCACAAGTGCTTGCTAACTTTGTAGACATTGCTGGGTTACGTGAAAATAACAGTGCCGCAATAATAATGAATCGACAATTGATACAAATATCCATGAATGCCTTAATAATGATTCAATGCCTCCTTAGATTTCTGTATATTTTTCCATTGTGCATGCAGTAATGTATGTCTTTATACTGCACAGATTACTTTGTCCTTCAAGTTATTATAGCCAATTCGTATTGACTATGCCTATTATATGACTCGCAACATGTGTGAAACAAATATAACGCAGACAATACATTCTATCGCTGTAATAAGGAATTTATTCAGAGCTCTCAGTAAAATATATTAGTTATTTATTATTTATGTCACAATCATAGCGTTAATTTAGTAAATGTATACACTTATTAATTTGATAAGTAAATATATTCATAATGGGCACACAATGAAATTTAAACTGTTACGAGTAACGGGAACGATTTGACTAATTACTTTATCTCGTAAATTGATTTCTAGCAAAAAAATTACTTTACGCCGCGAAATAAGAATTTTCACATTTTATGACAAATTTTATTTATTGGCAATGTCTATCATTGTTGAATGATAGTACTTTGATGACAAGAATTAAATAGTTTTGATTCTATTATATATACATATATATTCCAGTTGAAAGAAGATTTTTATTTAGTCATAAGTAGCATCAAAATTCTAGTTCAAAATTCTGCTGCACTATCATTGTATTTTATACATGGAACAAATGTTAAAAATAAAAGAAATAATTTAATGAGCCAAAGTGGATCTTAATCGTGCTAATTTTTAATATTATAAATTGCATATACAGGACGCTTCCTTTAATTCGAGTATTTAGAAAATTTTTCTTGTTTTTAATAACAACATAACAATGTGATAAAATATAAAATAGAAAAGTTGTTTGTCTCATAGGAGCAAATATTATCGTAAGTAGCATATTTTTTCATACTTATTATTTTACGAGATTTTAAAATTATTTCCACAAATGGAATTCTATGAATTTTTCGCTTAATATGATTCCGTAAGTTATTCTGTTAACAAAAGTATTAAAATGAAATTATCAAAAAGTCAATATAGTTAACGAAACATTTTATATTTTTTTATATTTTAATTTTTTTTGCATATTTTATGTCAAAATATAGTATATAATATATCTCAATATCAACTATTAATTTTTGGGTTGATAATTTTACTTATGTAAAAGAAATCATATAATTTTATTTAAAAAATAGTGATAAATAGTTAAAAGTGTGATAATATTTGTTCCTTCAAAACAATCTTTCTATTTAACATTTTGTCGTATTATTAAAAACAACGGAAATATTTTAAATTGCTTTAGATGGAGGAAATACTATATAATGGCAAATGCTTTGACTTCTAATCAGACCATATTCAGGGCACTAATAACAAATGGTAATATAAGCAAAAGTTAATCGTAATCATCTTAGATCTTAGTCCACCATAAAAAAAATACCGTTTGAAACTTCCACGTTCCCAAGTCAAACAGTTAGAGATGATTTTGGTATAAATTACTTATTAAATATGAAATTGTGCAATCACATCGGAATTATATGGCACAATTAACAGTTAAAAATTATTTTTAATTGTTTTATTTGTACGCGTGTGATACAATAATCGCAAATTGTATTTTATTTATTTGACTATATGATTAACAACTTATCTTCCTTATATCGATGTTTTCATCAGTACACTGGGAATATGATTTAATTAAAGAATTTTAATATGCATCAGTGTGTGCACACCATTGTTCTCAGCTGAAATCACTAAGAATATAAATTAATAAATTTTATTACATTAATTTATTAATTAAACATAATTTTTTTGCTATATTTTTATGATTAAATGACAACAAATTATATTATTAATAGATAAGATATTGTGTGCGTAATTTCTGCTGCATAATTTTGCAGTAACGTTATGACGGTAAGCCATGCTCGAGTTTTGCTATGTTTTTGTTGCGATAATATGACAGCACATGATGCTCAATTTCTGTTACATTTATGTACATATGAGCACATGATGCTCAATTTCTATTACAAAATTTATTTTGTAATATATTTCCATATATTTTTATTAAAGCACAGATTAAAAAATCTAGTGTTTATTAAAATAACATGATCTAGATAGTAAACCGTCACCGAATTTGTCGTATTATTTTTAAACGTGATTTAGAATAATCTGTAATTGTTTCATAATTTTGTTATTGTTTTGGAAAAAATAAAAAAAGAAGTGATTAAGTATATCTACTCTCTAAATATGAAGATCAGCGCATAATCACTGATATCAGTGCCAAGTATGCCACTGGTAATCAGTGAATTAGATATGAGATCTCTAACCTAGCTAATCTTTATTATGTGATCTAACTAACCTTTAGTGCTTAAACTCAATGAATATGGTATTGGAAAATTAAAATTAACGTGCAAATATTAGTATTTTAGTTATATAATGCTCAAACATTCTTCCTTTTTTAGTTGAACTTCACTGATTATCAGTGCCAAGTA